CCAGTCAAAGGTATGAAAATGCACCTGATGAACATTCTAGTCCTGGAAGAAGATAACATTAACAGCAACGACAGAGGAAGTAGTGAGGGGGTCTTCTTGGAAGTCATTGTCTTAATACTTTATTTGGGCCCAAGATGCCCAAACAAACGGATACACAAGTTTGGATAAATAGTGCCTTGTCGGGCTGAAGATTGCAAAATATTATAACTTCTCCTTTGATTCATTCGACAACTATGTATTGGTGAGATCTCGTTCCATAATCTTTCTTCTGTACTCTACAATGTACTGGTATCTCACCTGACCGGAGAAATAGAGGTCTAATAACAAATAACTTGCAAAAGCGTAAAACGTCTTCATTAGGCGGAAGCTAGGTCCATGACCAGTTGACACCTTCTGATTGGTCTATAATGGATGGCCAAGCTTGATGTGATGGATAGGTGAATTAGATCCAATGAAAGCATCGTGTTTGGGTGGCGAGAATATGATTGGTCTAAATTAGTAGTCCTATTTGAATAGGGTTTCGAGACTACCAGTAAATCAGTGTAATGAGATGTATTCACCCTATTTCGTGTAAAATGATGAAGGACTGGTAGTAGAATTTTCCCAAAATGATATGAGCTGAGCTGACGTTTTCCATTGAATTTCACATAGCCTTGCTTTCCCAAAAGTTGTTCTCATCTCGGCTGGAGTGGACTGCGGTTTCGACCTCGCATTGGTCTTATCAACACTCTCAGCGGGATTCGAACCGCGACATCTTATATTACTGATTTACTACTCAAATGATTGTGGCAAAATTCTACTACCAGTCCTTCATCACCTTACACGAAATAGGGTGAATACATCTCATTAAATTAGTAGTGCATGAAGCATAGACAAAATAAAAGTTGGGATGGATCACGCCAATCGCTTATCTTTTATCATGAATTCTTTTCATTGGTACCTGCTAATGGCTATCTCTCAACCCATTTATCCTCTGCGCACAGATGTATTCGAAGTGTCTGGCCTGAGTGCTGATGGTCGGGAACATCTATGCGGCTACATTGACCCTGCCGAAACAGCCCATCTGGATCGCTTCATCCTCTTCTGTCAACCACTAGGCTCAAACAAGATCTCTTCTGCTGCCTCGTCGTTATCAGCCAGCCAGAGCTCTCCAAACCGACTGGTGGGAATCCGTTTACGCTGGACCCGGCCCGACTCCGACTGGGAGTCTGGTCTTCAGACTGCAAAGATGCAAATAACCGGAGGCTTAGTACGACTTTCTGATCGCTGGCCTCCGGTGTCTGAGTCCAGAATGGGCAGCTTCATGCGATGGCGAAGGCCGGAACAAGATTTTACAAGTGAACCGAATGAGGCGACTACGCCCCCTTTGACGGTCAACTCAGGAGAAGCTGAGCACCTCGAGGAGGATGTGAGAGAGGAGGCGGAGGAGGAGAGTGGAGAGACTATAATAGAGAATTCAGTAAAAGTGAACTCTGCGCAGACGGATAGGAAGTCGGATATTACCAGGCGGACTGAGAGGGGTGAGGGGATCAGTGGATCCCAGGCGGAGTATGAGGCGTCAGGTATTTCTCTCCAGAGGCTGATAATATCGCGATCTACTCATTGACAATATAAGTAGTGTCGCGGGTATAATGTTCACTACATATTTATGAAGTTCATTAACCCTATTTCATTTTGGGTGGTAAGAGGGCTGGTAGTTGATTTTTTT